CCCCAAAACCCCAAAACCCCAAAACCCCTTTTGAGTGAAAATTCATTGAAAATTAATTTATTTTTATAAATAAAATGATGAAGTCTAGTACACCACATCAGGATCTCAAACTAATTAGGAGATACCAGCAGAAAGCGAGAAGGATACATACTAGCATGTCTGAAAGAGGAATGAGGATCTCAGATCCTCGTATCAAGAAAAAGAGAAATATTTCCCAAGAATCGATTCCAAAGCAGAAGTCACTAGTTGAAGAGAAAATTGATCCACAGGAGGTTATTCTGCAACAGAAAACGTTTCAGGAGACTTCTGAGACTTCTAAGCCTATTGCGAAACAAATTTTTAAACGAAATTTGCATACTTCAAGCTCACCTTGGATCAATGTAGCCACGATGGATCCAAACAAGGTTGACACCAGACAGTTGTTGATGGATAAAAACATGAACTTCATGGTCACAAATACTCAAGACTTTTTAGAAGAAGAAGAGATTGATATCCATGGGCTCAGCAATCTTTCTGAGCATAAATTGGTCAGGTTTAAGTACCCTAGATGTATGAAATTTTAAGTAAAATTGTCCTAACTCTTGTCATTTAGGAATGGGCAGTAATTATCTAAAAGACTTTAAGCCCCTTGCTACCCAGAAATTGATCCCAAGAACGAGATTTGGAGATAATGGAGACTGATTCAACCTTAATAATGAGAAAAGAAGACATATTAATGTAAACAAAATGGTCTGAAATACTACTAATAAGGATACTTTTACAGACTTCCAAGTACAGCCTGGAAAAGGACTGGCTCAAAGATCTCAAAGTTGAACTCAGATTCCAGAGAGGCCCATTGTTGTAGTTGAAAAGCATCGTAGAGATCCAAATAACAGTAATGAGTATAAGGGAACTCTAAGCTTTTCATCGCCATTCTTCAACAAGTCTTCATACCAAAAGAATTTCCAGAATTTTGGAGAAGGTAAGATTATAAATATCATAGAAATATAGGCAGAATGTATCAGGCAAAACATCCAAAATATCCTGTCTACATGCTCCCATTCAAGGGAGATTCTATTTATCGTGAGAGTTTCAGAAGGAAGCTGACACAACGTCTAAAGGAGGATAAATCTCCTGATGGTGGCACCAAGCTACCATCCTCTCTTGATCCTGTCCAAATAAAACTGAAGGTGTGCAAAGATCACATCAAGCAGAACTTCAGCATGTTAAAGATGAATGGAAAACCCAAGGAGTTTTACCCCTCAAAGACTACTCAGAGAGAAGTGTACATGTCGAAGTCAATGAAGCCAAAAGACGATCCTGTCCATAACTCACAGCTTCTTTCGAATTTCAAGACTATTTATAGCAACGAATTTGTAGAGAAGCCGATTATCAGGAAGAAGAAGATCAAGACAAAGCCAATGGTGTGGTAATCCATTCAAAAAGCTGCTACTTTCAACCATGCTATTATTTTTTGGGGTTTTGGGGTTTTGGGGTTTTGGGGTTTTGGGG